AATTTATCACTGATTCACACTCGCCGTCCCAGATTGACATCTAGCAATGTGTCAGCGCAATGCATGTGGTATGACAAAATCAAACTCGTTCGTTTACCGTGAAACTATAATCCCTTCGTCAATATGATCCGATCAATTACGAGATATTGAATTGTGTCAATCCCGAATATCGATCATATCTTTCACTCCACTATTAATTCAATATAAATAAAAAATTCCTTTTCGACTTATGAGTACACTTTGGCCAATGATTTCGTTATCGACTTAATTTAATGAAACACAGATCATAATCTCCTACTATCTAAGAGTGACGAATCCTTTATTGGTCAATCACAACCTTTATACGATTTTTGACGTACCCGAATGATGTCGTATTAGCGGCCCTTTACAGAGCAACATCCAACACCGCTAAAGTATAACTGTCCTCATATAAGGTACCATGGCGACTTCAAGTCAAAAGACCAATTCTACTACCAAACGTTAGAGATTAACCATTGAAATTCAAATAGTTATCCATGTGGAATCTCTCGACGGGTCTCTAATGTTTTGTTCTATAACAAAACATCCACGTGTTCATTTAAGTATCACCACAATTTAACTTGTGAGATCAGTTACTTATTTCATAAGTAAGAAATGTCACACGTGATGGTCTACTCGTAATAATGATATTCGTATCTCGTTATTACTTACGACTACGGACGATTTAAAATTCAATCAGATGTAATTTGTATTTCACAATCACAACTCTTTGTGATTAACAAATTACGAGAATTTGAATATACGGATTCTATTATTTATTTAATTGTTTATTAATTAAATAATAGATCTGCCATTAAATTACATTAATTATATATCAAAAGTATTTATGTCCAAAGTTGATTAGATCTAAAGTATAATACTTACACCTAATGCAAGTGGCAGTAGTGACTTTGGATGAACGTCTAAAATCTAGCAGCTGAAGTTGTCAACTACTTTAAAGCGAAAATTTACGGCCTCAACATTGAGGAACGGAGCTTTGTCTGCTATTTGGGCCGGACAATTGGACTGGAATGATGAAGTTGCCTCCTTGCCTTCAGCCGTTTGCATCTGTCGTCTTCGAAGTGTGGAGAGATTTTGGGTACAGTGTCGGTGGGAAAAGGGCAAAATGAGGAAAGCGAAAAGACCTAAACACTGTTGAAGACACATGAGCTGTCAGAAATATGATGGGCAACGGTCCCAAAATGGATAACTTGGCAAAAATAATGGAAAACAAATGGACCCTTAATAAGATATTTTAAGTCACAATTTATGGAAACGATACCTTGAACCAACCTTGACAATCGAGAAATATAGCACAAATAAAAAGTCAAACGAGGTGACGAACAAGAATTAGATTTATTAAATAGTGCAATCATTGTTGACTTATTGTTGATTTGCAAATTGAAAGGTGCACTATGATGTTTGCCCCATGTACTTTGAAACAGTATCAAGATTTTTTTTTTTTTTTAATAACATTTGAGAATTGTAATTCGAAATTAACCCACAATTCGACTTTATAAAATGGGCCAATTGTAAAATTTTCTCGCTCTTTTTTTGTGTTGGGGGTTGAGGACCTTCTAGTTCCACCTCTGCTACTATTATTCTTTCTAGTACGTATTAAAAAACAAAAAAAAGTGATGAAGATTTTTTAATTGTTGAAAAATAATCAATTTTGAAATTTACAATTTACCTGTAGCATTTCTTTTGTTAACACTAACTTATAATAGGTCATAACCATTAACCTACTACTTTTGTTTCATGTTATTGACGATCGTGGTCGCCATTTTATACATATGCAGTGCTGGAGTTATGAATTTAATTCAGTGAGGGCAAAACTCATTCTGAAAATGAAAATTTTAAATCAAGGCAATGAACAATATTTAGAAAATGGTATCATACAATATATTGTTTCAAATGAATTTTTTTACCACTTCCTTCAGGGTTTCTTACTTGATTTATTACAAAAATGATGTACCACCTACAAGAAACATTGATATCATACCATTCATAAAAAATTGGTAAAATGTCATAACTTTCATTACACAAATTCATACATTCTTCAATTTCTTCTTTGAAGATTGAGAATTCATCATAACCCTCATTACCCAAATCATAAATTCTTCAATTTCTTTGGCAAATATTGGCGGATTTCCATAACTAAAATCCAAAGATTCTTCAACTTCTTTATAAAAATATGTAGATCATCAGTCATTGAAATCTCTTTAGATCGAAAGGAATGAAAATGGCATTATCATCCATCATAACTTTTATTATTGAATTCGAGAAACACTACCAGGAACAAACCTCGCTCTGATATCAACTAATGTAGCGTGGAAACAATAAATATGTTGATTGACTAGGAGTGCCTTAAAATATTCGTTGATTAATCATTAATTATATTTTTTTAGTAGTAATAAATATGGGCTGTAGCATTAATGACAAGGAAGATTTTTTCAAACTGAAGGAAAATATTATTCCTTGAGATTTTTTCCAATTTTCATAAACTTTAGGTATTTGATATTTAAAATCAAAGAGCGTAAACGCCCTGTATTCATGTGTGAGTCAAAGAGCTTTGATGCTTAAAATTTTGGTATACTTAGAAATCAATAAAAATTAAAAGGTGATCGTGTTGCAGTATTTATTCGGAATTAGCGAACCTTTGATAACGTGTTCATTCATTATTCTTATCGTTTTTGCCGACGAAAGAACTAAAGAAGAAAATAAATTAAAACTAAGTTTTTCTCTCTCTTTTTTTTTTTATTTTTTTTATTTTTTTACCTTCTAGATCCACCTCTGCTTCTATTATTCTTCTAGTACGTATTAAAAGAAAAAAAGTGATGAAGTTTTTTTTATTGTTGAAAAATAATCAATTTTGAAATTTACAGTTTACCTGTAGCATTTCTTTTGTTAACAGTAACTTATAATAGGTCATAACCATTAACCTACTACTTTTGTTTCATGTTATTGACGATCGTGGTCGCCATTTTATACATATGCAGTGCTGGGGTTATGAATTTAATTCAGTGAAGGCAAAACTCATTCTGAAAATGAAAATTTTAAATCAAGGTAATAAACAAGATTTAGAAAATGGTATCATACAATTTACTGTTTCAAATGAATTTTTTACCACTTCCTTCAGGGTTTCTTACTTGATTTATTAATAAAATGATGTACCACCTACAAGAAACATTGATATCATACTATTCATAAAAAAATAGGTAAAATGTCATAACTTTCATTACACAAATTCATACATTCTTCAATTTCTTCATTGAAGATTGAGAATTCATCATAACCCTCATTACCCAAATCATAAATTCTTCAATTTCTTTGTCAAAGATTGGTGGATTTCCATAACTAAAATCCAAAGATTCTTCAACTTCTTTATAAAAATCTGTAGATCATCAGTCCTCATTGAAATCTATGTCCATAGATTTCTTTAGATCGAAAGGAATGAAAAGGGTATTATCTTCCATCATAACTTTTATTATTGAATTCAAGAAACACTATGAGGAACGAATCTCGCTCTGATATCAACTAATGTAGTGTGGAAACGATAAATATGTTGATTCACTAGGAGTACCTTAAAATACTCGTTGATTAATCATTAATTTTTTTTTTAGTTGTTATAAATATGGGTTGCAGCCTTAATGACAAGGAAAGTTTTCTAAAAAAGAAATAAAATATTATTCCCTGAGATTTTCTCCAATTTTCATAAACTTTCGGTATTTGATATTTAAAATCAAAGAGTCTAAATGAATTGTATTCATGTGTGACTCAAAGAGCTTTGATGCCTAAAATTATGGTATACTTAGAAATCAATAAAAATTAGAAGGTAATTGTGTTGCAAAATTTGCTTGGAATTAGCGAACCTTTGATAATGTGTTCATTCATTATTCTTATCGTTTTGGCCGACGAAAGAGCTAAATAAGAAAATAAATAAAAACTCAATTTTCATCAGAAAATTAGAAAAAGGTTGTAAGAGACATTATTTAGCCCCGATTTGACAATCATTATTTTCAAATTTATTTTTTTACACACTCATTTCAATCACACATTCACATAATAAAATATTTTACACGTAAATCTAACATATTTTTCGTATTTTTTAACCACAAATTCTTCTAAAAAGCCTTATTCAAAAATCTATTTTCTCCAAAAATCTAATCTTGTCTCGACATTCTCTATTATCCACACATTGACATTGATGCATAAACAAACGTGTTAAATATTAAATCTACACCTCATTTTCTTCTTCTTAAATCCATAGTTTTCTTGCACTAAGGAGTATAGGCCCCACCTTCTAGTTTTCAGGCAATTCATCTTTTCATTCTGCGTATGTCTTAATATTGCATTATTTCTAATATTTAGGTTAAAAAATATCAATCGAAAAGAAAGCATGCATGTATTTTATTTTCCCCCCAAAATCTAACGAAGGCCATTGTCCTCACTGGACCAAATGTCGCTCGAGCGATATATATTTTTTTACCTATTGAAACGTTGTTCTTAACTTAAGAGTATGGCAACTAGTGCTCACTCTCTCTTACACACTCTAAAAGTCAAATACTCTCCATTTTAAAAAGTTAACCTTAAAATTAAACTCTAAGAAACTTTTCAAATTGACATTTAAAAATAAAGAGTGAGTTTGGTTTTCTCTATAATTAAATGTATTCAAAATATTGAAATTTTCATTGTTCCATGTATTGACCCAATGAGATAGTATATACAAAGAAAATGGAGAAAAATAGTATAATAATTTTGTGGGATAAGTGTTGATAATAAGGAGGCTATTGAGTATTAAAATTAGATTATCTCTTTAAAATGGTCTAAGAATTTGATTTCTCTTTGTTTGCAAAAATTAATATATCTAATAGCTGTAACCTAACACCACAAAGTCTTATAGCAAAAGTCAAATTTCTATACGTTCAAGAATCCAATTTAGAATAGATAATCTTACAGGCAGTTTCTACCGTGAGGGTTTCATCTTCTTTCTTTGAATATTCCAACACCAGTCACATCTTGAAGACTATTCTTCCAAAATAGCAGTATATATAATCAATGCTATCCTACATTTGTAGGTATATTTCTCCCTTTGATCCTGTCCCTGATTAATTTTCATTATTAGCCAGCAATGGAGGGCCAAAGCAGCCAAAGCAATGATCCTCTGCATAATCATGACATCCGTGTTGCAACCCCTCGAGGCCCAACTCCAAATAAGGTCCGTCGCTCCGACTTTCCGAAAGATTTTATCTTTGGTGCTGCAACATCGGCTTATCAGGTGCGTGTTAGGTTTGGAACGTGGTGATGGTTTTATTTTCTTTTTCCTTTGTTAATACTCTCTAGGGTAAGGTTCATGATCATGTAACTTAAACTGCATATATTCTTCCTAATAAATATGTTAAAAAAATATTCATATCATGCAACAAACTTAATGACTCACGAAAAAGGAAAAAGAAAAAGCGAGAAAGAATTGTAAATGAAGTTACTTGGAAACCCACTTGGCCTCTCTCCAAACAAAGTTAGAATGCTCAATACACATGCATGTTAATGAATAGAATGCATTCAATTTCACAATTATTTTAAATATTTTACACGTGACAAATATTATTTCTAAAATTTGACGGCGCGTGATTAATATTCAAATTAAAGTTATCGTCTTTTTTTTAATAGTTGGCCGTTAATTGTCATCTGTCTTCCCAATTCTGCCTGCGTGCATGCGTTGATTTATATATATTCAATTTCTGACCTTTCTTAATTCCAACCAGTAGCCGCCCAATTGTGTGTATATATTATTTCATTGGAATTTCCTCGACAGAAGAATTCCAAATATTCACATGGGAGCGAGCCCCATATCAGTAAAATAATCCATCCACGTCTGTAGACAAATTTTCTGCACGTGAATCATCTCTATTTCTTTTCAACCTCAGCTGCAATGTTTGACTCTTAACAAAATAGCCCAATTTTCTGTCTTCTGGTGCTCTCCCTGCTTAGTTGGCTGCCGTTTTCAGTGTATACATATATGATAATTTCCCAGGGCAGCCCTCAGTTTTTGACTGTTTTCTCAGCTGGCGGTGACAAGTCTCTCCTCTCTGTTCCCTTTCAGAATTCAACAGCAGGCAGCCTAATTCTACACGTTTTTCTTTTTCCAATTCTCCCCTTATTTGAATTCTATATGATGCGTGTGTCTCTATGGGTAAAAGTCTCCAAGTCAGCCACCAATTGCTAAGTGGAAAGCGCTCCAATTCAAAGTCATTAATGCTATATTATTCTTCAAGTCCTTAGTTCTTCATGATAATGAAATTCAGTCATTGAGTCCTTTCATTTTTACAACCCAAGTATTATTTGATTCAATTCAAATCCTTCACTTTTCAAAGTATGAAATTTGATCTCCAACATTGCATCGAATAGCCTATTTATCCCTGTACTTTTGATTTTGGTATTTTTTGCTTCTTTCCTTCAACTCTTTTTAATTCATCAAGTTACG